ATTTTAACCCTTAATTTTAATGAAATTACAAAATTACTTATCCCTCTCATCAAATTTCCCTTGTTATTTGAACCAGTCGGTTCATCAATTGAACCGGTTGAACAGGTTAAACCAAAAACCGGATCTAAAATGGTTCAATGACCGATCCGGTTTTAAAAACCTTGTGCAAAACATTAGTCATTGAATTAGACGCACCTTCTTTCAATCCAATAAATTGTGCTTAGAAATTCAAACCGTTTCAACCTACAAAAGTTGGACTCAAAACCAAATATTGTAACTTATAGAGTCCATTTGATCAAGGTTTTTAAAATCGGACCGGATCGGTCGGTTGAACCGGTCGGACCGGTACCCGATAATGAAAATGGCTCGATTCACATAAAAAAACCGTTTGAGGTCAAAACCGATCAAAAACCATTCAGAACGGGTCAAAACCGTTCAAAACCAGTTAAAACCAATGAAACCAATGGAACCGATAGAACCAGAAAAACCACCAATTCAATTTCTCATGCAATTTTCTTTTTATTTTTTCCAATTCACCCTCACCATTCCTTTCTTATACCGATTTTAACCCTTAATTTTAATGAAATTACAAAATTACTTATCCCTCTCATCAAATTTCCCTTGTTATTTGAATCGGCCGGTTCATCGGTTGAACCGATTGAACCGGTTAAACCGAAAACCAGACCTAAAAACGGTTCAATGACCGGTCCGGTTTTAAAAACCTTGCATTTGATATTTTTTGAAGTATAGTAAATAGCCGCGGTTTAGGGCCAGTTTACTCTGTTCAGTGCATATGTTTGCTCCTGGTTTTAAAATAGCTTCTGTTGAAGCAACCAAACATAATTATTGAATAATGCTATTGGGAGTTTGTTTCCCAGAACTAATGCAGTATCTATCTATTTCTCTCTTTCTACCAAAAATTCTTGAATATGCTCACATAAACCGAAAGGGAAACGGAAAAGAATATCAGGGGATATCAAGTGAATAAATTCATACCAAATCACAAAACCTACTTAAACAACAAAGAATGGATCATGACTTTTTTTGTACTACTTAAGTATGAGGCTGAAAGGGTCTTCTCATACTGACTAATAGAGGACGTTTAGAATCAGTTCAGTTCCCGTGCTTCGAGAGAACCATGCAAAGTTCAGTCAGTAAATATAATCTTGCACCTCTACGGGGAACCTTGCCACTTGAACTTCAAACAGGCCACCTTTTTGGTCTGCCAATCTATTAAGATTAAATAAAAAGTAAGAACTTGGTTAGAAAGGTCAAGTAGTTAGCAATTAACTTCCTCTTTCAGCCAATTCTAATGGCTGATACATTCAATCTAAGATTCTGGACAAAATTCAAATCCGTGAGGATTGCCCAACTAGCGAAATCAAGATTCAGATAAGATCACCAATTAGTAAATGAGAAATGAAACCTATCATGCATGCAGGTAACAGATGCATCATTATTATATAAATTTCAAAGGATATGACAAGATATAATTTGATAAATGTATCCAATTCTCATAATAAAAAGTATAAATATAAAATCTACTCCTATATCAACATATTTTTAGGTTGCCACACAAAAGATCAATAACTTAGGTTGCTGCGTGACACTGACTTTTTTTGCCTCAAATAGAACCTACCAGCAATTTGTGGATTCATTTGCCAGATGGCACACAAATAGAACACATATTCTTAGCTTAATGCAGTCCCACTCAACCTAAGTAACACAAAGGTCACGGCATACCAAACCAAGCATACCCTTTATCTTTGACTGGATCATCAAATCTAATATCACCACTTAAACAACACATGTAAAATATCAAGCAGATTACCTGCCACGGACAAATTTGAAATAACCTTCGGCAGAACCTGAGATTGAAGAAGCTGGTAGACGTGTGAAGCTTTCATAAACAAATTCTCCCTCACCTGGTCGCAAGAGAGGGTACTGCCAGGATGTAAAAAGAGTGAGATCTACAGCCTCTTTTGGAAATTTAAAATTCCCCTATATCAAGGATGTTAATAAATTGATTACAAGAGAATGGGGCAGATGAGACATTTCTAGTTCTAATTCTGATAAAACTATAGGCAACCAAAAAGTTAATAAAGGATAAGAAAGATGCAGTTCTTCACTGGTGGAAATTAATTTTTCCCATACATGAAAGTTTTCGCTGAAATATGAACAGAACAAATTACAAGAAGGAAAAATGATATGATCCGGCATGATATTACCTTTCCTATGGCCTCTCCATCAACATTAGATCTTATATCACCATTAAATTGGATGAGCAAGTGTCTCCAATAAAGTTGGCAGGAGTCAAAGGTCATTCCATTAATGATACAACCTTCAGGCTGGAGAGACATGCGGATTGAATAAGCAAACAAGTATCCCCTGAAATCATCTAGAGAGTTAACAAACTCTGGAACAAGGACAGCAGAGGCACGAATCTGAAGTAGGAAAAAGCTAAATTAATACTCTTAGAAAAAATAATAATGAAAATGGAACTTATAGCAGATCTCGCAAAGGACAGCAGGATACATATATAGTGAAGCCTGTTTAACAATGAAATGATGAAAAGGGGTGCCATCTTAATAGAGCAAGAAGCTTTTCAGATATTAAATCCTATACATAGAGCTTATTAAATAACAACCGAAAATGTCATAATAAATATCAAAATTTTACAACTGCCTAGATTTACTAAAGAAAGGTATTAAAGTAACCCCACATAGCACCCTGCAATTTACCTCAACACCATTGGTTACTACTACAGAACATAAGGGAGGAACCTCTGGAAACAGACTGATACTTTTGATATTCTTTCGTTCACAAACTTTGATAATGCCACTTTCTAAGCGATGGCCATGTTCTTCTAACCATAGCAACATAGCATCTTGCTGCTGATCACCACTAGAATCATGGACAGATCGAAAAAGCAAATTTGGCACACACTGAATCATTTCCCCAAGTGTTAAAATATTCCTTGCACCAACAGTGAGTTGGCCATTTCGGCAGCTAAGGAAAAAAAGCTTAATACTAGCAGTCGAGGAACCAACCACAACAATGTACTTATATTTGATTAGAAAACCCAGACGATATGCAACCGCCTTTGTCTTGACAATCACCGCACTAAGAGACAACAAGTAGACATTAACCCAATGGTTGTTGAAACAGTAGCCACCCATGATTCCCAATAAAAAGTGTGAATTGCCAGACAGCTTCTTGGCAGCCAATTCTTGGCCGTCATGAAAGCGATAGAGAACCCTAGTGGGAAGAGGCAATTTCACTTCTAAGAGGTTCTCTAATTGTTCAATATCAGATTCCGACGCCCCTCCTCGGAGGGTAGCCTCTGCCACCGGAAAATTATTGCTCAACCAGCTCCTAATCCTGCCCCAGCATCTTTTCACTCGCAGAACAAGTGGCCATGGGTACACAGCAAAAGCTTCTCTCCATAATTGATAAGCTACCTGGAAATACACAATCAGAGACCATTACAATAGGCAACCTAAAACACCAGATTGCATTCTCTGTACAAAAATCTAATCTTTGATTCACCCAAATTATCCCCAAAAAAATTCAAGCAAAATGGAAATGAGAATAGTGAATACAAAAACAACAGAAAATGCTTCATTTTTTCAATTACCTTGAAAGAGGGAGCGGGGTTTCCATGAGGGTCTTGAGGGGATACGAGATCAAGATCATCAAGACAAAATTTGGACCACAGATGGTCACCAGAAGCAGAATCCCTATGCCTTTTGCTGACACAGGAAACCTTCGCAGTATCTTTGGGACCTAGTTTCAAAAGAATTATGTGAAGAGCAAGGTCTCCTACTGCTTCCAACGCCATATCACGGCCTCAGTTCTCCTCCAGGATACTACTTCCTCCACTTATTCCACCGGAACGTCGTGTATCGTCTGGTAAGACGACAAAGTTTCCAATTTAGCTCCGGTCACCTGTGACTTGTCGCTTCTTCTCCCTCCTGTTCTGTGACGCTGCGCACTGACGAGCGTAAAAGAGATGGCTTCTTTCAAATTATGATTGTTTCTGTACTAACTAAACAATTAAGGCAAGTCCTCAGCAGTAGCAACTTTGGCCTTCATTTTTACTGTATATTACAGATTTTAGGCCTGAAATCCGAGATGGTTGAGAGGAGTCTGAGAAGTCGAACATCATATTTTATTATTGTATAGCACATCGTCTCAGAAAACAGAAATAAATAAATAAATAAATAGGGGACAATATCGGGTCATTATTGCTGCTTTTTTTTTTTTTTAAGTAGCTAAGGGCATGTTTGGTGGAGTTACTAGGAGCTTCAGATTTTATATATTATTCATGTCTCATAAATTTAAATTTTTTTTAAAAAAATTTATACTTTTAAATATTTTTTTAACCTCAAAAAGCTCTTAAACAGTAAAAGTTCAAAAGTTTCAAGTTCAAAAGTTTCAAATTTAAACTTTTCATAAACTCTCTTTTTACTTACTTTTCACTTACTTTTTCACATTTCTAAAAGCTAAAACTCTATTTTCCCTCCAATAAAAATTTAAACTTATCACTCATAACAGTACTCAAAAAGCAAAAGCTCAAACCAGCCACACCAAACAGGATCTAAAATAATTTGTTTTCAGAAGGCCTTTTACCCAAAAGGCCGAAGCCTTCCATGGGCTAATTTCAGTTTTAGTTCAAAAGAACACCTTCCGGGGGCCCAATACAATATATTTTATTTTTCTTGAACAAAAACAGTACAAAATTTTCTTAGTGATTCAGATTTCCTTTCATTTCTATTTACACCTAAAATAAACCAATAGGGTAAGGCCATGTGTCCAGGTAAAGCCCAATTATCAAGAAAATCAATAGGCTGGATTTGGGCTGGGCTGGGCTGACTTACAATTTAACGGTCCAGACGGATTTCCAAGAAGGTTGGATCTTAGGTGGCAGAAGATAAGATTGGATATGGTAGTTTGAGTTTGATTTAAAATGGGAAATTGAGGATTTTTAGGTAGTTATCTTTAAGGTTGTTGGAGATAAAGTTAAATAAAAATCAGATAACTATTAAATAACTGCCAGACCTGCAATCCCATTACAAGATCATGGAGGAACAGTGCCGAAAATCGAGGAACAGTACCGAAGATCATGGCGAAAGTTACTAGCACCGAAGAAAATAAATACAGAGAGAAGAGAACAGTTTCGAGGCCGGCCCAACACACACACAGACTGCCCACAGCATGTTTTTCAGCTTTCAGACTGCATTTTCCAGATTTCAGCAATAGTTTTCAGATTTTCCAGATTTTCCAGATTAGTTCATAGCCTTAGCCTAGATTTGTTCATCTTTGTTCATATTTCCTCTCGCAAATTCCCATTTAGATTAATTTTTAAGCATTTGGAAGCAACTTAGCCTTCAAAACAGGTTTGCCCTTTTGATTCGGTTAGTTCTTCTTCCTTTTATGAATTTAGTTATGTTATTCGTTCATGTAAATAGGTTGAACGTTCTTTACCTTTGTTCTTTTGTTTCTGCACAATATCCAGACATGCAGTTTGTTTAATTCTAATTTCTAGATTTAAATTTATAAGTTTCCAGACTTTAATCGTTGCATAGTTTCTTCTTCAGTTCTAGTTATTATTATGGGCTGTGTAGTTGAAATCATTGTCTGTTATTTTACTTTTTTTGTTGTCTGCGAATTTAATCTTTATGGCATGTTATTTTCTGTTATTTACTTCATTTTAATTTAATTGCTTTAGGATATCGCATTTATTTTAGGAATTGTAGCTTTTATTGTATTTTTTTGGTTGTGAAGTCCTTGGAGGTTTCCAAGGCAATTAGTAACCCATTTTGCAGAACTCTACCCTTTGTTTTGCAACATCATCTAGGGCGCAATTCATTTCACAGACGTTCTTTCCAGCCATCCTATCGGAGGTCGACCGCTGGAAAGGAGAAGGGTCGTCTGGAAAATCCTGTTTTCTTGTTTTTGGACAAAGCAAGTGGCATGCCTAACATCCAACTCACGTGGTAAAGGCCGGCTAAGGATTTTTGGGGAAACAATTTCATTACCATTTTGTTGTTCCATTTTCATGTTTTTTGGTTTTGAAATTTGGTTTTGTTTTATTTCAGGTTTTTTTTTTATAGTAAATCATCTTTTTTTATGCTGAGGTAAAATATATGTACCCTTTTTGAATTAGTAAAATAAAATGTTCTTGCCATTCCCAAAATATATTTACTACCAAATAAGAATGAAACAAGTACATAATTCCATGGGTGTTATTCCATGTATATATACATTGTTTTTAACGTGGGAAAATTTTAAGGGGTATTTTTGTCAATGAAATAAGAAATTATAATTTCCCTCATGTGAAAGTAAATTTGAATTAATGTAATGCTAACAGAATGCGTTAAAGATGGAATAAGTTGTTTTTTGTTAGGTTAAATACCCTTTTTGGTCCTTCTACTATTGAAAAAGTCCTCTTTTGGTTCTTATATTGAAAAAATTCTTTTTTAGCTCCTAAAGTTTAAAATTCGACCTTTTTGTCTCTTCGTTAAATTTTTGCTAATATGTCACGTTAATTAATAGAATCACTTGAATATTTTTTTTATAAATGATATTATAAATGATGTGGAAATTACGTAGATAAAATTATAAATTTACGTAAGCATTTCATCTGAATATTTTAGGCCACATGTACAAATTAAAAATTTTACTTCTTAATTCATGAATTAAATGAAATTAATTTTAATTTCTTCATTTTCTTCTTTCTCCTCATCTTTATCATCCTCCTCATCCTCATCCTTAGCATCCTCTTCATCATTAGTTGCTAGGTACCTCATGGAACCCAAATCTGGGTTCTGCGAAGCCAAGTTCTGGGTTCTGCGCTGGGTTCCTTAAACCCAGAAACTGGGTTCCGTGAGGAACCTAGCAACTAGATACTTTGAGGAACAGATTTGAGTTCCACAAACCTAGGTTCTAGGTTCCTCATGGAATCCAGTTGTTGGGTTCCTCATGGAACCCACGTGCTGGGTTCGTGGAACCTATATCTATGTTCCTCAAATTCAATTTCTCAGTTCTGGGTTCATTAGGAAACCCAGATCGTATTTGATATTTGGGTTTAAAACTGCAAATAATAAGTTCATGTTGCTGTGTTCATGTTGCTATGAATTTCATAACTTAATTCATCTGAAATTAGGGAAAAAGTAAAGAGAATGATCTGTTTTGTAGAGGAGAAGTTAGGGTTTACAGTTGATAAATCACTTTAATTAATAATTACTTTTTTTATCAATGAAAATATTCTTATGAATTCTCAATTATATCTTAATCAATCTCACATGTAAATGGTTGATTATGAATGAAAAACAAGAATTCAAAAGAAGGAAGATGATTCGGGTTTTTCTTTTTTCATAGAGAAAGTGACATGGAAGTGTGTTATTAAATCCACGTAAGCGTCTTTACATAGCGTAATATCCATGTCAGATGTTCCCGTTAATATAATGTGTCACATAAGCAAAATTTAATGAGAGATCAAAAGGGGGCCAAATTTTAAACTTAAGGGATTAATAAAAAGAGATTTTTTCAGTACATGAACAAAAAAGACTTTTTAATAGTAAATGGACCAAAAAAGGTATTTAACCTTTTCAATTTTTCAAGTACTTATTCCCTTGATCATTCTTACTTAATCCACCAAATTGAAGTTGTCACCTTTTTAAGTGCGTAATTCATTTTTAAACTTTTAGGTGATTTTGAAGAGCAAATTTTGTGGTAAATTAGTTAAATTTGAAATTTTAATAAATACTTAATTGACCATTATCAAGAGTACTTAATTTACTTGAACTCTTTATAAGGACATACTTAGATATGCAGTTTGATGTAATGAATTGTTTTTCCTCGTGTGCTAGCGACAGGTGCGGATTTTCATCAATCAAAACTCCTGAACAAACAATTGGTTTGATTGATCTAACGCTATGCTGTTGGATAAAAAAAAAATTTAATGGATTTTAACTTTTCTTTTTGTTAAAGGAAAATAATGTGCTTGTTTTATGAGCGAAGAAAAATGAAACTTTATGTGGGGCTTACCAATTAATAACCCTTCCAATAACCATTCCTCTCTGCATCAGTGTATGAAATAGACATTTAACAACATATATAACCATTTGAACAAAAGGCTATATGTATATACACCACTTTGACGGGCAGGAGAATCATACCACCTGCTTTGCTATGCAGGATGGTATCAAAACAAAGGGAAAAGACTGTTACAAGCATTAGAAGAGAAAAAAAAAAAAAAAAGATCAATAATTAGAAAATAAGCCCATCAGATTTGCTTTGCAGTTGGTATTAGAACAAAGGAAGAAGACCATTACAAGTATTAGAAGAGAAAAAAAAATGATCATTGATTAGAAAATCATCCCATTTGCTTTGCCCTGCAAGCTGGTGTCAAAACAAAGGAAAAAGACCATCGCAAGCATTAGAAGAGAAAAAAAAATCATTAATTAGAAAAAGGGAAACATACAAAAACACCATAAACTTTTTACATACCTTTCAGGAACATGTATTCTTTGATTGTGTAAATCAAGAAATATACGCCTCCGAAAGGGAGGCATGTCCTTTTGAGAAAAGGGGAAGCCAATGCAATTGGCATGTGTAAGGCAATCCGCATACTTCATTACAAAAATGCCACAATCAATCCCACTGTCATGTTAAAAGTAAACAAAAATTAACACTACAATTACCACATAAGATCATAACAATAATAATCCATGGAATAAAAACCAACAAGTGGCATGTAATAAAGATTAATTACTTAGTAAGGTGACTCACTTCTGTTGCTTAGGAATAACTGTTGGAACATTGAGAGGCCAATTCGTAACACTGTTCAAGCCCATGGCAGGCAATAAAATATTTTCAAACCAGCTCCTAATTTGTTTTAGAGTAACACTCGACACGTCTGTAGTATCTCCAAGTGAATTCAACCATACAAATTTGTGATACTTGATGTCAGCACAAAAAAGAGTCCAATGGTCTGACAAACAAAATGGTAGAAACAACTGCAATGACAACAATATTAGCAAATCTTATATATGTAGTTATATTTATTAATAAGCTTATAGGGCAGTACAAATAAAGAGCTAGCTAGAAAACTCAAGATAATTAATACCTTGCATGTATTGATTTGTTTCTCGAGAGTGATCCAACTTGGAACAATAGGCTCGCATCCATTAAGCAAGAAACTCTGATTTTTTTTAATAAAAAAATCAATATAAATTAACACATCATATTTCTAGGTAATGTTTTCGATATATTATAAATTGATATCTTTATAAGTTAATTATTATATTAATTGAGACTTATAAGTGAATGACATTTACCACTGTTGAAGAATCTACGTAATCGTGCTTCAAAAACATGTTTGGATTTTTTTCGGACCTTCTCTTAAGTAAATCAAAGTATATATTCATAGCCTTTTAGAGAAAAAAAAATTAAATTAATGTAGATTAATTGAATCAGGCATATGTTTAATTTTGAAACAAACTTGAGAAAAGAAAAGCAAGGTTATTTTGAATAGCCTTTTACCTCATCCAAAATATAATACACTTGCGGTGTTGCATGGATAATATCATCAACTAGAGGGATGACAAAAGGACTTAAGATTGATTCTTTGACCTTCAATTGTCTGTACAAACAAAAGCCAAACTCCTCAATAAGGTTTCAAATTGTAATTTGTAAAGTCATATTGTAGTTTATTTTGATGTTACAACAACATACATACCCTGTGCTTTTATGATTCTCCCAATTTCTCAAATGTTGTAAATCCTCTTTTGTAAAATCCCAAACCAAGTATTCTCGAACATCCTACAACAGATTGATACAGACATGAAAATAATCACATGATTTGTTAATGTATGTCATTTGTAAGTACTTCTTAAAAATATCAATAAAATTGAACAAAGCTTTGTATACTAAAGTAAATTAGAAAGTAATGGATAAAACCTTTTCTGACCATACTCTTAGCTCCCTTGTTAGCTTTTTATCACTCTTCTCATTGCCTACCATTGCAAACCAAGGATGAACCCTTCAAATGAACATTTTAATATGAAACACAAGTCGTAATATATATTCAGATTTATGGTTTTTATTGTGGCATATACATGTATCATCAGAAGGTTCATTGTATTACTATAGCATATGCTATTATGTAAATAAGATATATTTATATCTTATTTCATCTTAACTAGAAAGAAGATACATTCATCAAATCAATCAAATGAGCCAATTAATTACTATAATTAAGAACATAACAACTACTAAATTTTTAACTATTTTTATATTAACTATCACAGAAAAAAGGAAGGACTTACATGTTTTTACTAATGCTAACCAGTCTTGACAGCATATGATTGCATTTATGATCTTCAAATCTTGATCACTATTGTTGGAAACAATTTTTTTAACCTATGTGGTAGATCCAGAATTTGACACAATGGTTGACAAAGGTATGGCTAAGAAGTCACGAGCCATCTTCACCATCGTAGGAAATTTAGAGCTATTGTTTTGCCACCATTTTAATATGTCAATTTCCATCAAGTAGGATTCCTCATCTTCCAGATACTGATAAAATTCTAGTCGATTTGGTTTGGTTGCTAAATACTTCTGAAAGGAATCCAACACTCTATCATTAGCATTGAGATGTGCTGAACAACTTGTATCACCGATAGCTGTAGCGACTTCTCTTTTACTGGTCTGCTCATATGCACATCCATCATAAACACTTATAAGAAAATCAAAAATCTCATTCAAGTGTTGCTTTGCAACGACAACCCCATAAATTTCCTCATACACAAACTGCACAAATTTAAACTTCAAGCTTGGGTGAAGAATAGTAACAACGGCCAAAATTAAGCCGCAGATTCTTTGATTGTTACCACATTCCACACTCATCAACGTATAAACCTTATTTTGTAGATGATTCAGCTCCTTGTAAACTTGATAAATGCTTTTCAAAGATATATCTTCAGCCATATAATTTATGTCACTAATGCACTTATCATAACTAAGGTAGAAAATACTAGAAGGTGAATTTTCTTCATGGTGAACTATCTCATCATTTGAGAAGGAATTGTGGATTGTTAGGGAACATGGTTCCTTATTGATATTCCAATCTGAAAGCACCATCTCATTAACTTTAGACCATGATATTGCACCAAAATCATTCTCAAATCTTTTAAAAGTAAGAACCACCTTCTTCAATTCCCAACTATCATCAACAAAGTGCGTTGTCAAGCAACAATTTACCATCCCTTTAGCATCATCCTTTCACAAATTAATCGTTAGATTAAAGCGACAAGAAAGCTCATCAAAATATCTACAAAGTTTATGCTTCTCTTCATTATAGACATGAAGTATGTGAGGTTCAAGATCTTTTTCAGATTGAAACTCAAACTTCGGCTGCAACATTTTGAAAAGTTTCTTGTGATGTTCATCATGAATTATGCTCAATGGAAGCTTGTACTTAATAATTATCCTTGCCAACTCCAAATGAATCTTGTCTTCATCCAACACATATTTTTCTTTGAAAGCACTTTGAGGTTCTAAATTTTTAGATGAAAGATTTGATAATTGATGTACATTTTTATTTTTTCTATGACGATTTTCAAAGTGTTTTCTTAGGTGTGATGTCCCTTTTTTGCTTGAACCATCTGTCTCAAAGTCACAATATTTACACTTGGCCAATAATTCCCCATCTACAACTTCTACCTTTTCATAATGATTCCAAACATCAGATCTTGATATTCTTTGTCTTTTGTTTCCCTATCAATGAATCAGGTGCAATTGAATTCAAAGTCAGAAAATTTAAAAAAAAAAAAAAAAATCTTGAATTTGCTTAATATACCAATAGAATATAGACATATATTTAAAAACTCTTAACCACGATTGTATATAAAGGTAAAAGAGGGAA